TCTCTCTCTCTCTCTCTCTCTCTCTCTCTCTCTCTCTCTCTCTCTCTCTCTCTCTCTCTCTCTCTCTCTCTCCATCCCCCCCCCGTTACTCCAGGTCTCCTTTTCAAATAATGAGGTTTCATTGTATTCACAAGAACTCTCTCTCTGTGTGTGTGTGTGTGTGTGTGTGTGTGTGTGTGTGTGTGTGTGTGTGTGTGTGTGTGTGTGTGTGTGTGTGGTGCGCACGCCCAGTCTCTTTTTCAGATAATGAGGGTAGGCTTTTATTTTATCGTATTCATAAGGACTTGAGCTCACGATCTGCTTTTTCCGCAGTTATTTGTGGGTAGCATTCTGCAACAGGGCACATACACAAGAAAAGGACTCCAGCTCCAGCTATCCATCCCTTGTGGATAACTAGATAGTAGAAACCGATTCTTACTGGCGCTCAATTCTTTCTGAATAATTGAAAGCAAGAAAAGGATTTTAATGGGCAGCAAAAGAAGAAGGCCAGAAACCGAGATGCATAGAAGGCAAAGAAAGAGCTTACCTGAAGCCAATTCTCCCTGGCTGTGGCGAATCTTTCTCGATTCTCTGCACAAGGCTGCATGACAAGGAGGAGTCCTTAGTCGGCACAATAACAGAAATCCAGATTTTCCACAGACAACAGGAAACAACTCACCTGTCATCGCATAGCCATCAAATGCTAATCTCCTCTGTCTGTATCGTTCCAATTTTAACGGATGTACCGAAGGGCTTTTTCTTTGTTCTTAGGTTACAAAGAGTGCAGCGACCGCTGGGGCTGGAAGAGGCACACATAGAATTTTCAATTTTTTATTTTTAACATAAACAAAAGAACAAAGAAAAAGTCCTTCCGTACATCCGTTAGAACATTGGTACATCCGTTAAAATTGGAACGATACAGAGAAGATTAGCATGGCCCCCTCGCAAGGATAACACGCATAAATCGAGAAATGGTCCAAAGTTTACAGAAAGAAAAAGAACAAAGAAAAAACATAACACAAACATCCGTTAAAAGGACTGCTTAATTATTAGAAAAAAAAAAAAAAAGGTTCAAAAAACATAACACAAAGAAAAAGAACAAAGAAAAACATCGAGGAATGATGCATAGAGGATTGGCATGGCCCCTGCGCAAGGACTACTTGAAAAATAATAATAATAATAATAATAATGATAATAATAATAATAACAGAAAAAAAAACACATGGAACACAAAGAAAAAGAACAAAGAAAAAAGTTCAAAAAACATAACACAAAGAAAAAGAACAAAGAAGAACATTGAGGAATGATGCATAGAAGATTGGCATGGCCCCTGCGCAAGGACTACTTGAAAATGAAAAATAATAATAATAATAATAATAATAATAACAGAAAAAAAACACACGGGCTTGTTATACATGACAAAGGGCTCACGGATCGGCCAGTAGGCATCGCATGGCTTAGCATGGCACCAAATAGCACACACACAGGCTGGGGAGCACTTGTTTTCCAGAGTGCAGCGATTCCTCGGGGCGCGGAAAAGCACATAAATTTTTCAAACATGAAAGAAAAGCACACTATTTCTGCTGTTAAACATGACGAAGNCGGAAAAGCACATAAATTTTTCAAACATGAAAGAAAAGCACACTATTTCTGCTGTTAAACATGACGAAGACCACACTGTGATTCATTTGGCATGGGACTGTGTGTTATCGAAGAGTGCAGTTCAGACAGCACAAGGGTCAATTACGTTTATTAGAAGTAGATAATCGAGTGGTTGTACCAGCCAAAACTCATTCACGTACGATTATAACATCTGCTGATGTACTTCACAGTTGGGCAGTACCTACCTTAGGTGTCAAATGTGATGCCGTACCTGGTCGTTTAAATCAGACTTCCGTCTTTATCAAACGAGGAGGAGTTTACTATGGCCAATGTAGTGAACTTCGTGGTACCAATCATGCCTTTATGCCTATTGTAATGAGGCATAGAGAGGGGCACACCAATTCCTCCTTAGCCATGAAGACAAGAAGAGAAGAACCCAAGTCCTCTACAACCGTCACCTTTGATGCTCATCTTCACTGGCTCCATTGCTGGATGACGTATTCCACTGTCATGATGTCATCTTCTTGTTCTTCTTCTTTTCTTTTCTTTCTTTCTTTCTTTCTTTCTTTCTTTCTTTCTTTCTCTTTTTTTTTTCTTTTTCTTCCATGTTTCATCTTTTGGGTGATGGCTTATGCAACTCACAACCTCAACTTGTTAACGGCTAAGTCTCAACAACCTGCCCAGAACGAAGCCGTTAACACATATATACACCAGTCCAGCCAAGCCTGCCCCGAAGGCAACTTGAACGTTGAGACTATCATGCAGAGACTGCCAGAGAGCACTTAAACCAGCAGTACACCCAAGCCTGCGAGACTCACACTGCGTGCCAAGTTTTGCCTAGCTGCCAGCAGCGCACTTTGTTCTTTTTCCGCTGGCGCCGCGCCAGCGATTGGGGCCCGGTAGCCCCAAGCGTCTGCAACTTTAGGACCGAGCCATTTGATTTTCTCGAGTTGCCTCGGGCTGCGTACTGGCGGGCTACCGGGCTACCATGCGAGGGCTCTGCCATGTAGACCCCCACGAGGAGGGCTACCCAGCATAAATACATGCAGCCCTGAAGAGGGCAACAATCTCTCCCATGTAGGGGAGACGACGAGTGCTACCGTGCATCACTCACGAGGAGGACTATCATGCGGCCCTGAAGAGGCAGGCTACCATGCAGCCCGGAAGAGGATGCTACAATATAATAGACTGGAAGAAGAGGGTTGGTTTACCATGAAGGCGTGAAGAGGAGGGCTACCATGTCGACCCCCAAGAGGAGGGCTACCCAGCATAAATAGCACAGCGAAATTCGTCCGAACACGTACGTAATACAGTCACGCCAAACAACCAAAAGTTCATCAAAAAGAACACAACTCTTTGCAAGCACAACACGGACGTTCTATGGACAGACGGGGAGGGGAAAAACGAAGAATCCATCTTCAAAGGAATGAGCTGCCTACGCAAGTTTCTTGTTTGAAATAATCGAAACACATCAAAATGGTGCTGGCAGCCCCAGAACAAACAGCTGCAACATACGAAGGTATGGGGGTGTTGGGGTGGGGTTATTAGAGGTTCTGGAACCCCCCAAAAAATAATAATAATAATAAATTTGCGGGGTGTCAACGACCCCCGACCGGTAGGTGCCGACCAGTCTTGGTCACCGACGGTCGGGTTGTAAGCGGGGGATAACAAAGGGCTGGTGCAGGGAACTCACACGAACTTTGCCTCGCCGATGGGTTAACCTGGGTACTTTGAATCCCATTTCTGACCCAACCTGGGCCACTCTGAAGGATTCGTTGTCGTGCTCCTCCTCCTCCTCCTCCTCCTCCTCTTCCACCTCCTCCTCCGCCGCCGCCGCCGCGTGTAGCTGCTGCTCCACCACCTTGTCCCCTTCTTCCTCCTGAAATTCAATGCCGCACATGCACACACCTTGGCAATCAGTCTCGCAAAACTAAGCTTTACGTGATTGGAAAAAAAAAAAAAAAAAAAAAAAAAAAACCCAAGATAAAGAAGAAAAAATAAAACTCACACAACAACGATCTGTGACCAGAAGGTCCAGGACTACAACCACACCAACCAAGAAAGCCTGACAATTAATCTCAGCCAAAGACCGCATTCCCCCTACCACCTTCCAAACTTAATCTCTCCTCCTCCTCCCTTTTCTTCTTCTTCCTCCTCCTGAAATTCAACCAGCCTTCCCAACCCCGCACAAAGAGAAAAGACAAAGAAACAAATCAGGCTTGGTTCCTTTGTCTGCCACTCTTCTCGCCTTTGTCCGTTGGTCTTCTTCCACTTTCTTTTCCCTTCCATGCACGCATGTTTTCTTCTCTCTCTCTCTCTCTCTCTCTCTCTCTCTCTCTCTCTCACACACACACACACA